TTGTTTACTACTGGGCACGTTTAGCAACATACCATAAAATTTGTCATAACGAGGTTTATTTGTAGAGATGTGGAGAAGAGGGAGGCTTTGTATGCTGTTGATGGGAATATAATTTAGTATGGCTGTTATGGGAACACCACGAAGCTTCCTCCGAAAACTGAAAACAGAGTTACCAAATGGTGTAGAAGTCTCACTTCTGGGTAAATATCCAAAAGAAGTGAAACCAGCATGCCAGAGATGTGTGCACTCCTGTGTTCCTCAGGACATTGTTCATAGTGACCAAGATGTGGAATCAACATAAATGCCTATCCATAGAGAACAAATCTAAAAATGTAGTGTATATACACAGAGGAGTCCTAGTCAACCTCAAGGCGTAAACCTGCATGATAAGTGAAATAAGCCGGGCTTTTGTCTTTGCCACATCCTGCCTGTGACTTTAGGTACAATGAGTCTCTGTGGACCTGCTTCAGTTCTAATATGATCTGATTTTATAACCTAACAAAGCCAGCACTTGCTGCTATTTGTGTGGAATGAAAATAACCTTCATAGAAAAAATATAGAGACAGCACCTGCTTCTGAAAATTGCTTTATAGAGGGAAGCCTGCTTTCACTCAGTGTGTTTAGGTCATTTTGATATAAGGGAAGCTTGCAAATGAGATTATCTTGCTTTAACTTTGAACTTTAATCTGTTTATAAAAAAATACTGGGAATTGGTTCACATACCTATGATCACAGCACTGAGGAGGCAGAGGAAGGAGTGTTAGAAGTTCAAGGTCAATCTAGACTATTTAGTGAGACCCTGTCTCAAACAAAACAAAACAAAATAAGCAGCAACAAAGCACTGGGACTTACCATCTGAAATTGTGTTTTCCAAGTTGTTTCACACCCATGATCATCTCCTCCACTATATACAACAAAGACAACACGTAGAATTAACAGAGTAAAAATGACTTACTTATGTAACCTTATCCTCTAGGAAGTAATGGGGTTATTTTGAATTGTAGACTCAGTCTAAGATCTAAACTAGTAGGAGAAGTGAACAAGTGAAAGAAAGTCAACAAAAATGTGGTGAACAGAGTTGGTCATGGATGTATATTTCATAATAGTGAAAATCGGAAAATAAATTTTATCAGTTGAGTCTGGGTATACAAACCATGGTACGTGGATACCACAGAAATGCTAAATTAAAAAATGAAATGTATCCTCCAGCCATACTGTTGAAAGAAAAGGTAAATTATGAAGCATGTCCAGCATGATACCATGTGTATATTTGAAAAAGAGGACGAAACAAATCTTTGGACCTGACATGAGTATGCCAATTCATGGAAAAGGTCTGGGAGGAGGAGAACAGCCACGACTGTTACTTCTGGGAACGAAGAAGGCTTGGTAGGGCTTTGTGTCATGGGAGTTCTTGGCTTTCTATTCCAATCTTCTGTATTTGGAGCATTTTATAGAAACATAGTCGCAATTTCCTCTTTTTTTTTTTTCTGTCTTTTTTTGAGACAGGGTCTCTTTGTAGCCCCAGCTGTACTGGAACTCACTATGTAGACCAGGCTGGCCTTGAACTCACAAAGATCCACCTGCCTCTGCCTCCCAAGTGCTGGGGTTAAAGGCGTGCGCCACCACTCCTGGTGCAATTTCCTTTTATAATTACAAAATTTAAAGTTACTGGACAGGAAAAAGACATGTGACACAGAGAAATTGGAGCACAAGGTAGGATTTGAGGCCAGCAGAGGGAAGGTGGAGCACTTTGGGGTGGTGAGCTCTGCACTTAGCATGGACCCTCTCAGCCTGGGATATTTTCTCAATGGTGATTTGGGGCTTGTGCAGTCTTTTCAGGAGGTATATACATGCAGATAGAGGTACACATACACACGAATACATATATGTCTCCTCTATCCACATTACTCTAAAAGATGTACTCTAGAATACAGGGCCTTCTAGAAAGAAAACCCAAAGACTTTTTAAATTTTTTTAATTAATTTTTAAATGTGTATACGTGTATTGCCTGAATGTATGTAAGTGCACCCCTGTCGTGCAATGTCCGCGGAGGTCAGAAGAGTGTTGGATACCCTGGAACTGGAGTTATGGACAATTGTTAGCTGCCATGTGGGTGCTAACATTCGAACCCAGGACTTCTGTAAGAACAGCCAGTGTTCTTAACCGCTGAGCCATCTCTCCAGCCCCGAAAACCCAAAGACTTTTAAGAACAATTTCACATATGGTTTCTTTTGATGTATTTTAACTAATAATGTCTTGCATTATAAGTACTGGGTATGAAAAAAAATTCGTATCATTAGGATGCATATATTCACTTCTATTCTGGTGAAAACAGTTCTGTCCCAGCAACTGAACAATCATATGTACCAAAGAATTCTTTTCTTTTTTTCCTGACTTTGTTTCCACTTTGTTAGATAGGCTCATTTATTCCATAAACATTTATTGAGCACATACATGCAACTCTAGATTCAGGGGATGTGTTGTGACAGAGAACAGACAAGGACTTTGCTGCTATAGAGCTTATAGTATGTGTGTGGTGGGGGGCGCACATTGGAAGGAGCTAGGAAAGACTCAGGAAGTGAGCACTTCTGTGATGAAAACTAAATACTGTGATATGATAGGGGGAGACCACGGAACTCACTCTAAGAGGCAGTTAGGAAAGACTTCTTTGAGGAAGTAATTCATCAACCAAGGTATGCATGACAAGAGATTGTATTTACTTGGAGGAAGAGTATTTCAGGCAGAGGAAACCCAGAACTGTACCCCTAGGGTGGGGGAAAAACTTAAGAGGGTTTAAGAGCTTGCTGTGTGTAGTTGAGACTTAGGCTAGGTGAAGGTAAATGAGAAGTCTTCAGGGACAGGATCATGTCAAGCCTTAAGGACAAGGTAAGGAGTGGGGGTTGTATTCCAGATTGGATGAGAAGCCATTGGAGCGTTTGGTTAGGTGAATGAATGCCAATTTATATTTATAAAAGATCTTCTTTGAAGGCCTGTGACTGTGGCTGGTTAAGGGTAGAAGCAGAGAAACTTACTGGGAAGCTATGGCTGGGGGCTGGGGTGGGACAATACAGTGACTTAGACCAGCGTGGTAACTGTAGCTGAATATTTGCTTATAAAGATGGAGATCTAGGAAAACATAGGATCCCAAACAGCTCCTAAATCTCAGGCCAGACAACTAAGAGATGTATTTTGGGAATGGAGAAAGCATGGGAGGAGCAGGTTTAGGGGAAAATCAATTCTGTTTAGGGCATATTAGATAGTACTCACTGATGGCATTTCAAGACTTGGGACTAACTCCAAAGTTTCATATTCATGAATGTGATAGTCAGTCTTGACTATCAACTTGATTGAGAGATGCCTAGGAGCTTACTAGCTCAAAACTCTGGGTGTAACTGTGATGGTTTTTCCAGAGAGGATTAGGTCACAAAGACTTTGATACAGTCAATGAATCAATCTAGTGATAGATTCAGAATTGGAGATTATTGGAAGGTGGGGCCTGGTTGGAAGAAGCAGGTTATTGAAGGTGTGCCTCTGAAGGGCAGGTGTGTCTTTCCTAGGCCCCTGTCTCCACCACAAAGTGAGCAGACTTTGCTACACATGCCCATAGCTGTGATGTTCTGTTCTACTAAAGGCCCAAAAACATTGAGCCATGTGATCATGGATTGAGTCTTCTGGAACTATGAGCCACAGTAAATCCAAGTTGCTTTTTCTCAGGCATTTGGTCACGGGGACAGAAAGCTACTACAGCATGCTATGGCATTCTTCATTTGGGCTAAACTTGCCCAGACAGACTGCATCTGTGCTGAGACTGACTGCTAGAATTTCTCCCCTTTTCTCTCAAAGGCTGCTTTTAGCTTTGCAGAGTGAAGGGGACAGTGGGGGACAGTGAAAGAACCCCTTCCGGGACCAGAGTAGCAGCTACAGGAGTTCTTATTTGTATGGTTCTTGACTTTTAACCATCACAGCATCTACTGAAGCTAGAAACAGAGTGAACCATTTCATAGACGGATTCTAGATTCACAGCATCCTCTTTAAATACCATAAGCTAATGGCATGTTCTTTTTGGTATTGTAAATATTCAAATTAATGTAAGTTGTATGATACAAAGTTCCTAGCATTTTGATCGTCCTCTTTTGTTTTCTGTGCCACCTTCTACTTTTGTGATGCTAGAACAAACCCACCAGAGAGCAATATGAAAACATGCTTTAACGCTTAGACCACATTCACATTTTTATGACAAGTGATTTTACTGTAATAAGTTTGATAAATTGATGTTTTGAATTAATAGTTGATCTTTATGGTTTAATTATTTTTATACTTGCAAAATGTTTCCTATCCCCACGTCAAACTCTCCAGGTTTACTGGTAGTTTTATGACTGATTTACTATTTTATTTTTTAAGATTTCTATTATTTCTTTTTAAAAAAATATTTTCTTTTTTATTTTTATTTTATGTGTATATGTGTATTGCCTGCATGTAGGTAAGTGCACCCATGTCATGCAATGCTTGCGGAGGACAGACGAGACTGTCGGATCCCCTGAAACTGGAGTTATGGGTAGTTGTTAGCTGCCATGTGGGTGCTAGGATTTGAACCCAGGTCTTCTGCAAGAATAGTCAGTGTTCTTAACTGCTGAGCTATCTCTCCAGCCCCCAGCTTTATATTATTTATATGTATGTGTGTGGTTATATGCATGTGAGTACTGGTGGAGGCTAGAAGAGGGCATCATATCCCCTGGAGCTGGAGTGATAGGCATTTATAGGTAAGCCACCCAACATGGGTGCTAGGAATTGAACTTGGGTCCTCTGGAAGAGCAGGAAGTGCTCTTAAGTGTTGAGTCATCTCTCCAACTCCTTATTTTTGACTTGCAAATACAAGTAGAATTTATTATGATGTATAAAGAAAAAGAAAAATTTTAAAGTTTTTTCCTTTCCAACAATAATACAGAAATAAAAATAAGACTGAACCCTTATTTATCTGGAACAATTCTTATTCATTGCAGACATGCTCTTCAGACCTCCCCCTGGCCATGTGGTGAGTTCAAGAACCTGATCAGGAGATAACCATCAGAGAACTCCTCTGTTTTGAATAAGTTCACCCTAGCTGCACACTTGGAAGGATGGTGTCCCAGTTTACTGGCCGGCGGGATTCTCCTGTGGACAACTGTGAAGGGATCAGCCATGATTTGGGGGACATTGATGGTTTGCCCAGCCTCCTGGACACTGACCACCCTCTTTACCAATTAGACGTGAGGTTCAGTCGGCACAAAGCTGCCTGGATTAACCCGCTGTGTGCACAGCAGCAGTCGTTGCAGGACTTATCTCCCAGCAGGCCAACAGTAAAAAACAGTAGAGAGCACTTTGTGGAGGATACTCCCTTTCCCTTGGGTCTTTCATCATGGACTTGTGGGGACTCCCTGGCTGAGATGCCATTGTCTGAGAACACCGCTAACTCCAGCAGCACCTCTGCTCATGGCTCAGGGGAAAAGAGGAGTGACTTCTCCCTGACCGCAGAAGAGCAGAAGGTGCTTCGGAGAGGGTCTCAGCACACATCTCTGCTCAAAAACCCCAAGACTGTGGCGACTTCCTCATCTCCTAAGGTCGACGGTGCTTGTTTTGAGTCTTTTTACTGGACTGCTTCTGCAAATGAAGGTAACTCTAGTGGGTGACTTCCTCTAGTGGGTGACACTCTCTCCATCCACATGCTTGTCTGGCCTGGCTGTAAAGTCTGACTATTATCCTCCCCATGAGAATTGAAGTCCATGACCTTCTACCTTGACCAGAAGCCAATGCATAAGGTTATTTACCATTACCACAAGCCCAGGCTCTGGAGTGGCCACAACAGGTGGATCAAGTATTACCTCTTCCTTGTACTAGTCATCGTTTTAGCTCAGCATAGTTGATAATCAGCACCACAAGCTATCTTTGGGCTCATTAGTTTGTCTGCAGGGAGAACATCAGAAGCACTCAAAACTGCGTGGGTGGGAAAGACATCTGCAGATCTGAAGGGAACCCATTGCACATCAGTGCTTATGTAGGTGGTAAACCTGTCTCACTTGGCCATTTGCCTGCACAGATGGCTGAGAAAGTGGTAAGCTTAAAAATAGCGGCCACAATACTCCCCAAAGGCTATCTAAAACCTCTGTATTAAAACTAGGTCTCTCATTACTATCAAGCAGTGTACAGATTCCTAAAATACCAAAACTCCTAAAATGAGATAATCCTTAAAGTAGCATGCAAGATGCATCAGCTAGTCAGTTATTCTCTTTATTTTATTTTTAAACTTTCATTTTCTTATGCTCACGCTGTGAGGTATTTATATTTCTAGTAGAACACCATTTCAAAGAGTTTGTAAAGATTTTTGCTTCAAAAGAATTTAAAAAGCTGTCCACTTGCCTACGGTTTGCTTATGTGTGTTTCTATATATTTATTTCTCACTAGCAGGGACCTATCCTGCTCCTTACTCAAAATATGGGCTATTTTGGGGGCTGGAGAAATGGCTCAGTGGTTAAGAGTGCTTGCTGCTCTTGGAGAAGACTCTAGTTTTGGTTCCTAGCACACATTTTGGGTGGCTTACAACCACCTGCAACTAAAGCTCCTAAGGATCTGATGCCCTCTCTGGCTTCTGAGGGCACCCTCATTCATGAGTACATACCCACACATAGACACACACATTCTCTCTCTCTCTCTCTCTCTCTCTCTCTCTCTCTCTCTCTCTCTCACACACACACACACACATTCACATAATTTTAAAAAATAACAATTTTTAAAAATATAGGCTGTTTGTTCTACTGGAAATGTTTGAACAATCAAAGGCAATAGCAGACTTCCTCACACTATCCATAGCTGAAGGACAACAGATTGTGGACTGTCTTTTGATGGCTAATGTTGAGATAACCAAATTTGAGCAAAATGCCTCTCATCACAAGCCGCCTTTGTCTATCATCCTCTCCCCTGCCTAGATAGTTCTCAGGATAAAGAACAACTTGAAGATTGTAAAGCAAGAGACTAGTTTGCTGTTAGAGTATCTCCTAAAGGCAAGCCTTTTCTAGCTTAACCCATCATGGTGATAAGTTATAAGCTCTCTGACTGGAGATGATCTTTGGAGCCCAGTATTCTGTGGGCCCCAAACCATTTGTTTTATCCTTGTAAACAGAGTAGGGCTTCAACTTAGAATTATCTTGAACCTTTGTTTTTCTCTTAGAAAAAAAAAAGACAAACCCCAAAGCCAAAACAAGTGCTTTGGCCCCTCTTGTCCAAAGACAGGACCTCTTAGCAATCCTTAGCAGTGCCTTTAAAAACCAATCACTGTTTTGAGATTCTGTAGTTTTTTGTTTTTGAGACAGGGTCTCACCTTGTCACCTAGGCTGTCCTTGAACTCATGGCCATCCTACTTTAGCCTCCTGAGTGCTGGGATTATTGGTGTATGTCACTATAGCTGACAAGATTCTCTCAAATGTGATGAAGGGATTCGTTGTATGGGGTTAAGGAATAGATGGTCTGAATTCTAGCTCTCTCTTCCTTTAATGTGGAACAGCAGAGGGGAGAACAGGCACTGAGCACTAAGATGTGGGCATACTGAGGCCCCTACATCTTAAATGGCAGCAGTAGGGCTACTTCTATAGAAACACCACTGCAGCCTGTTAATGTTTCCTGAGGCTGTAGAAAGACTCTCCTGGGCCCTTTTATCTGCCTAGGACATGTTTACAAAATACTACCATATTCCTTATCCCTTTAATATCCTAATAGGTAATAGCCCCAAATTAATGTGGTCAAGACATAATGGAGAGTTGGGGCTGGGTCCCACTCTGAGCTTGCTTTTTCTTCTACACTCAAGCTCCGCATCTAAGACCAGTAGGTCAAATCCTGCCAGCTTCATGATTTTATTTTTAAAAAGGCAAACCACCAACTTGGTTTTGTCAACAGTGGCTTTCTCATCACATTGGCAGAACGGTATAGTTGGCATAGATGGTGAATGGCCCTCAAATCTTTTACAAAAATGTTTGCCAAGCACAACCAGCTGGTCCAAGTTTTTCATATCTCAGCTACTTTCTTAAATATGAGGCAGTAGGGTGACCCCTGCCTGAATCTGTTTGGCATCCTGGGAACTCACAACCATCAAGTCATTTGCAGCATCTTGTTTTAATTTAGCAGGTTGGGACAGCTCAGGTCTTGTGGCTTTCAGAAATTTTCACTTCCTTTCAAGGCTGCAGTGAACCATCACGTGATAGGAACTACTTGCTTTGGTGGCAGTCCTTGCCAGTAATGAGTAGCTGAGGACACAGGAATGGATGACACAGCACAGTAGACGTCCACAGTTTCTTCTAGGGCCTGACTAGAGGAGGATTATTTTAGAGAAGCAACGCTGACTGTTTTCAGTGGACTCTGAATATGTAACAGGAAGTTGAGGGCCAATTGCAGTAAGTTGGAGAAGTGATTCCGTAATTTTTAAGGCCACCTCTGTGTCTCTTGTGGGTATTACCCATGACCTTCCCCTATTTCCACCATCTTTGCCTCACTGCTGCCTCTACTCCAGTGGTCCTCTGAGGATACCTCCCAGTCACTCCATTACCCTCCTGTTTTAGTTTGTTTCTCCATTGCTGTGACAAAATACTCTGACTGCTACCAACTTGGGGAGGAAAGGGTTTATTCATCTTACATCTCCCAGGTCACAGTTCATCACTGAGGGAGCCCAAGGTAGGAACTCAGGGCAAGAACCTGGAAGCAGGAGCTGGAGCACAGGAACACTGCTTACTGGCTTGCTCCCCTGACTCTTGCTCAGCTTGCTTTCTTATGCAACACAGGCCCACCTGCCCAGGGGTGGCACCACCCACAGTGGGCTGGGCCTTCCCATATTGCTCAACAGTCAAGAAGATGCCCCACAGACATGGCCACGTCCTATGGAGGTAATTCCCCAATTAAGGCTCCCTCAACCCAGGTGTGTCAAGTTGACACCAAAGCTATCTAGCACAGCTCCTGTAAAAAAGATTGACACTAAGGCAGGATCTGCGAGCCCTGCCACCAGAAGACCCTTCTTCTTCTCTCACCCAAATCTGTTCTAGAATTATGTATGTTTATTTTTTTTTAAAGTATACAGGAGATAGAGCCTGGGCTTATTTTTGCTTTCTTAGATGATTTTTTGAGCTCTCTTTTCTCCATTTTTTTTCTTGTGTGTATACATGTATGTACAGGTGTACATTCATATGAGAGAGAGAGAGAGAGAGAGAGAGAGAGAGAGAGAGAGAGAAAGAAAGAGAGTTTGTGTAGGTCAGAGTTCAGTGTCAGGTATCCTCCACCATTTATTTATTGATTGATCTTTTGAGACAGGGTTTCCCTATAGCCACGACTGGCCTGGATTCACTATGTAGACTAGGCTGGCTTTGAACTCACAGAGATCCGCCTGCCTCTGCCTCCTGAGTGCTGGGATTAAAGGCATGCACCACCACGCCTGGCTTCACCTTAGAGTTTTTTGAGATAAAATCTCTTACTGATCCTCACTAATTGGCCAAACTAGCAAGCCCTGGGGATCCTCCTTCTTCTCCACCTCCCCAGGTCTGAGATTACAAGCACTTACTGCCCCAGAGGACGGAACTCAGGTCCTCAGGCTTGCAGAGCAAGCATTTCATTGACTGAGCCATCTGCCCAGGTCCCCCTTTCTCTGTTTTTAATGACTCACCATGTTGGCAGGTGCTGTTCAGAGCAGCAGAGGAAGCCATTCTGTGAATTTCTTCTCACCAGAGACATTCACGCTGCCGGTTGACGTAGAAAAGGTGAGTGAACTCCTTACCTACTGAGAATCTGAGTCTGGAGATGGCCCTGATGAGCACAGCCATAGGGTTCTTCTCAGTGTTTGGTGGAGGCTGCCAGAAGCACTAAGCTGAGACCTTTTCCAGACACTGTGTGCCCAGTGGGAAAGTTTTCTATGATTGACGGATGATATCAGCTGTTAGGTTTTCTATCCTAAGAAATTCAACTTGGTGGCTGGGGATGGAGCACAGGGGTAGAGCACTTGCCTAGCATGTGCAAGGCCTTAAGTTCAATCTCCAGTACTGCAAAAATTAATTAATTTTAACTTGGGTTATGTGTTGATTACAGTGGGGTGAATCTGTGTCTCTGGATACTGTGAGTTACTCATAGCTGACCTATAATGATCCAATTAGACAAAAAGTTATATTCATCTGCATTGGCATCACCCAAGTGAAGATTTGAATGCTAATCGGTACTCCAGAAAGCAAGTTGATTATGCTTACATTTGAATTGACTTTTTTCTGCAGGAAAATGTCCACTTTTATGCAGCAGACATGGTCATCTCGATGATGGAGAAGATAAAGTGCAATCTCCTGAGTCACCAGCAGCCAGAGAGCTGGAGCCTAGAGGAAGCCACTGGGTCACTGGGGAATGATCAGACCAATGCTGATGAGACCTTTTACACTCCTGCAAAACAGGAGCTAGGATCCTCCTCCTCTTCAGACAGTGGCTATGAAGGCAAGTTGGGCAAATGCTAGAACACTGGGTGCTGCAGTCTCCATGCATGCTGTCTCTCCTCTGTCCAGTCCTGAAGGAGGGACATTTTTTCAGTCCTCTAAGAGATGCCCAACCTATGGCACATTGGCCTCATGTACCCCAGGATAGCTATGAATATCACCCAACTCAGTGGTGGCAAGATGCTTTCTTTCCCTGGAGAAGTGACCAAGTGAACAGAGTCAGGAGGGATAACTCCCCAGGTAGAGACCAGGGTCCAGCTTGCCAGGTCACTGAGTAGGGGCAGCTCACCTTGACTGAGAACCCAGGGAGTTCTTATTGGAGGAACGGGTACTGAAGCTGACAACTAATGTTAGTTTTGCTACTTTCCACCCATTTCTTAAAGCAAGCCCATCTTTAATTCCCCACACCGCCCCCAAATTCACTTCCTGGTAGATTTTATCTCCAGGTTGCTCCCTCTAGGCTGATATCTTCCAGATCTGTGTTTTCAGCCCTGTACCTCCCTTCCAAGTGTTTGCTCTATGTGGCTGATACCTGTCAGGATCAATTTGTTGATCCTCAGATCTCCTAACGACACTTGATTTCAGTGTGGCTTAAAGAGACTTCATTTTCCCCATTGCTGATATAATCATATCTACAGCTACTTAGCATGTCTAAACTATTAATACTCCTTCACAACTGGAGAGAGAGAGAGAGAGAGAGAGAGAGAGAGAGAGAGAGAGAGAGAGAGAGAAAAAGAACAAAATATCGCTTTTTTTTTTTCTTCTGGCTCTAGTCTGGGCCTCCATATCCACACCTCATGTCCTTCATCTTATAAGGACTCCGGTTGGATTAGGACCCAGGCTTGTCTTTTCTCTCCTTTTATCTGCAAAGACTCTATTTCCAGATAAGACCAATTCAGATGGTCTAGGGGTACATGAACTCATGAACTTTAGGGAGAATGACTCAATCCAGTATAATTACATTTCCTATTCTGTATAGCTCATGGTGAAGCTGGCATTTTAAAACCTTCTTTCATTTTTTAAAACCTTTGTATTATAATAGGAAATTTTCAGGCATATCTAAAAGTAGGCAGATTGCATCAACCTATTTCACTTAGTTACAGTGAACAATAGACTATAATACCTTTCTGCAGTTTTTAATCCTTGAAGCTGCATTTTTAGCCTCAATTTCTGTTTCGTAGGAAGCTGCACAATTTTCTTCCTCCCCTTCCTCCTCCTCTTTCTTTTCCTTCTCCTATTCTCCATCCTCTTCCTCTTCTTCTTCTTCTTCTTTTGAAACAGTGTCTAACTATATAACCCAGACTGGTTTGACTGTGCCTCTACCACTTGCCTCTACCTTTCAAATACTGACATTTAGGTAGGTTCATTACACCTGATTTCATTTTTTTCTTGCAACATCGTGTATGGACCCCAAGGCCTTGTGCATGTCTGGCAATTATTCTCCTACTGAATTACATCTCCAGCTCGCATGCTTCTTTTGTGTCAGTGTGTGTATACAAAAATGTGTTTGCACACATGTATGTTTGTTGAGACAAAGTGTCTCACTTGCCCTGGAACTCTCCAATTAGGCTAGCTCTGGCTCACCACACATGTCTGCCTGTCTCCCCAACATTTGAGTAACAAGTACATGCTACCATGTCTGACTATTTTATTATTGTTTCGATAGTTTTAATAAAATCATTATTTTTATTTTATGTGTATGAGTGTTTTGCCTGCATGTATGTTAATGCACCCATGCATACAATGCCCATGGATACCAGAAGAGGGCATTGGATCCCCTGGAACTGGAGTTATAGGCCATTATTAGCCACTATGTGGGTGCTGGGAATGGTCCTCTACAAGAGCAGCCAGTGCTCCTAACTGCTAAGCCATCTCCCCAGCTCCCATGTCTGACTTTTTTTCTTTCTTTTTTATTGAATTTTTTGTGTATTTCATACTGAATAGCAGAACAATATTAATCATCTTTATACCCCCAACTCCACTAGCACCCTCCCATAGCCCCCCACCACTGGAACCCATATACTCAGTCATCCCTGTTAAGGCTCACTGGGTTATCAGTGTCCCCAGCCATTTCCTGGCGCAAGTCTGTCCACTAAGTCTGGTCATCTTATCTAGAGTCCCTTGTTTAATGAAGATCAGCTCTTCTTCATCTAGCAGCAGCCAGTTGCCAACATTCCTTCAGTTAAGACTGGAGTCTGCTGTTCACTTTCCCAGTTCTATGCTGGGTTTTTGTCTGCTGAGTTTGCATGGGACTTGTGTATGCTGACACCATTGCCATAGACTCATATGAGCAGGGTCCTAGGAGCTTGTAGGACTCTGTTTCCATATAGTCATGCACCTCCTCCCTGGCTC